ATTTATTTTGCATTTGAAAAATCGAAACCATGAAAATAAAAACTTCTAACACGTTAATCCATCTCCATCTGATCGTTTATTGTCTTTTTCATCCCCACAATCCAGTCTCCTGAATTTAATACAGTTCGGTCAAATGCTTCTCTCCGTCTTTTAAAGCAGAAATAATTTCCATCATTTCTTCCAAAAATTAACACTAAACCACAAATCTACATCACACGAGATACTTGGGCTAGTTTATAATACATAGTGGGGAGGTGATGCATTGTCTCGTGATTATGTTTTGATTTCTTTTTTTACAAATGGAAGTCATTTTTGTACACTTAATCCAGAGATCACATTTGGCAGAAACTACTAGTCGAAGGCAGTGTGATGTGTAAATGAAGATAACACTGTGGATGGTCCAACACACATGCAAGTGCCCACACCCGAACTGACGCATGGGCATACATGCAGCTACGAACACACTAAGACAATTAAGTATCAGCAGTGGACATGAGGTCTTTCATGTGAGAAGTTGAACCAGAATTTCTTAGGTTTCTGCTTAATCAGAAACTCCACACCCACAAAAAAAGAAAACAAAACAAAACAAAAAACACCCTGATGGATTTGAGACGGATGAGTTTGTTTAAACCGTTTGCAAACAGGGAAGCTTTAGCAGCGACAGCAGACATATAACACTTAGAGAACAAGATGGGGCAAGACTGCACAAAGCCAGGGGGGGAAAAGAGAGTGAGAGAGCGAGAGAGGTAGAAAATAGAGCAGAGGGTATGCGTGATTAAGTGAGGGGACGTGTTTCAGTTCTTTTTCAGAATACTCTTTGGTCCATTTGTCCAGAGTTGTTGTTTTACTGTTGTTTTGAATTTGTGTTATGTGTTGTTAACCCGTGTGTGGTTCTCATTAGGCCGGTGTGGTGTGAATGATTCTGAGTATGCATGCGCTGATGTCAAAGCATGGGGTGTCAGATGACACTCTCAAACAGCAGAGTACTCTTGGTTTCTTCAGGGGGCAGCAGTTTGGCCTCGCTCTCTGGTGCCAGGTACTCCAGGTGATGTCTGCCCCAGACTGGGGTGTTTAGATGCTGCCATCGCTGAGGAGGAAAATGAGACAAGTGCTTGAACTTCCTCTCTAATGACAAAATGATCTGAGACACACACGCACAAACAAAGGCAGTAAACAAGAACAAACTAAACTACAGAATTTGCATGAAAATGCAGCGTGAATGCTTAATGCTGAAAGATTTTTTCAGAATTTGGCTAAATTAGCAAAAACATAGCTGAAAAACTAAAACAAGCACAAAGAAGCAGAAGGAGCACATTTGCTGAATTAAGCAATAAGTAGCTGAGAGTATCACAAAAAGTTTATTGTTATCTGAAAAAATCTTAAATTAGATGAAAATAGCTTAAAAAAGGAGTTTAAATTGCAGAAAACTGCTGAAAGAGGCATAGATTCAAGGAATAAGATTGTGGAATAACTTGGACAGCAATTTTAAATTATTGAAAACATACGAAGCTGATGTTTGAGGGGTTGATTAAGTTTTTTGTTATGCTGATGAGGGTGTAAAATTATATATGTATGTAAGTATATACA